TATGCTTTAAGGAAATAAAAATAGCAAAGGGCTTTTCAGCAGGCTTGAAGGGTTTCCTAGAAACCACCATAAAACCATCCAGGCTTGCTACCTTCCAGGGAAACAGTTGTTTAATTACTTTTATAACTTTCTTCCACCAGTTTTTTGGTACCCTTCAGGCAGTTTGCCTCATCGTCAGTCAATTTTGTTATCTTAGAGAAATTTTATCTTAGAAAATAAAATAGTCCATTTCATCCATATTTTCACATTTGTGAGCCCAAAGTTGTATGAGATATTCTCTCCAAATCCAAGGGTAGATATGTTTTCTTATTTTTAACATTACATATTTATGTCTTTTTTATTTCCTGGCCAAAAGTACCCAAATCTTCAAGTAAATAATATGTTTCAAAGAACCAGCTCTTACCTTTCTTTATCAAGTGCAGGGCTCTGGCTGTTTTGCTAACAAATGTTTAGCAGGCTGGGCCTATTCCCGGGAAGTCCCCAAGGCAGCAACATCAGTGATAAAGGCACAGACTCCAAGCCTTACCTCGATGAGCTTTCTTTCATAGGAGCTCGCTAGTTCCTCAGCAACTTCTCCCGGCTTCTGCTCAGCAACAGTGACTTCTCCATCGACATTCCAAAGGTTGGGTACCACTTTAGGGAAAAAAAGACATTCCATAAATATTTTAACAGTAATCAAACATTATTCTTCCAGAAAAAAAATATACACACGTACGTACACACACACACACACACACACACACACACACATACACACACACACTAATAAAAGGGTAATATGTTAATTAGACTGGGTCAACTGGCCATCTTCCGGACATCTGACTTCTTTCTGGACAAAGCCATAGTGGTGGGGGCCGAGGCAGAGGCAGTTAGAGGCAATCAGGCTGGCAGGGAGGGCAGTTGGGGGTGACCAGACCAGCAGGGGAGGGCAGTTAAGGGCCATCAGGCCAGGGGGGAGAGCAGTTAGGGGCGAGATCAGGCTGGCAGGGGAGGGCAGTTAGGGGCGATCAGGCAGGCAGGCAAAGGGGTTGGGGGCAATCAGGCAGCGGAAGTTATGGGCAATCGGGCAGGTAGGCAGGTGAGTGGTTAGGAGCCAGCAGTCCCAGATTGTGAGAGAGGGATGTCCCCGATTGGAGAGGGTGCAGGCTGGGCTGGGGAACCCCCCTTCCTCCCGTGCACCAGGCCACTAATATGTGTGTGTGTGTGTGTGTGTGTGTGTGGACACACACATCTACCCTCTGTCTAGTCATCGCACACATCAAATATTTACAGAGAATGTACCACCCCCTACAATACTTAAGACTCAAGTCCCGCCTCTCCATCACTCCGTCTTCCTAAAACATTGTTTTACAAACATCACTGCACATGCAAAGCCTTTAATGACTATTCATTAAAGCCACAGCTTCTTCACCTGGCCTCAGGTGAAGAATATATATATTCTTTTCCAAGTAGCTTTTCCAGTGAAAAAGCTCTTTTTAAGAGGGAAAAAGAATCACAATTACTAATTACTGCAACATTGCGACATTTCCACCCAGTGGAACAGTGCAATGAAGTGAATGATAACACATATTTAAAAATGGAAGAACTGTCCTAGAGACAGATGCACATTCCAGGGGGAAACAGACAGTGGGCTGGAAGACAGAAGAGCCTATATATACTTGAATCCTTTACATAAGTCAAATGTGGTTTTTTTCCCCAATAAAAAGTTCTCCTGTGAGGCTGTGCCTGCCTAGATCCAAGTGAACTGGTAGTGGCGGTCAGAGTGCACATGGAACCAATAAGAGTTGGCATTGATAAACTGTACTTAAAGTGAAGGCTCTGGAAAACCTCTAAAACCAGTGCACAATGGCAATGTATGCACAGACTGGCTCCCAGGTGAGCGCAGGAACCGGCAGGAAGTTGAGAGGTGAAGTTGAGAGGAGAGGAAGGACATGGAGGTCAGGTGAAGAAGCTGTGGCTTTAATTAGTAGACATTAAAGGCTTCACATGTGCAGCGATGTTTGTAAAACAATGTTTTAGGTAGACTGAATGATGGAGAGGCGGGACTTGAGTCTGTCTTAAGTATTGTAGGGGGTGGTACATTCCCTGTAAATATTTGATGTGTGCGATGACTAGACAGAGGGTAGATGGAGGGGTAAGAAGAAAACACCATGTGGCATTAGTCCACATAAGACACAATAGAGGCTTGAATTAGGGCGCTGGCCTTTGCAGAGGTTGGACATTGAAAGCAGGGAAGACAAAGGGTTCAAGGGAGTAGGAGAGGTTTGACTTAGGCACAGACTAAGTCAAAACACAGCAATTCAGTAAATGCTCTTGAACACAGCATGCTCTGTGCTCTCTAAACAGCCAACTGAACAGCCTGGATCAACCCGGAGGGCTTTACTGTGTAAAATTTAAAAATTAAAAGAAAAACTTCCATTAAAAAAATTAACACGGCTGACACCAATAGGTATTTCTACTTTTAGGTATATGCCCATGTATGTTTACTTTGTAGAGAAGAGTAAGTAAATAAAAGCTGGGAATGAGCCAGTTAATTGCAATAAAAGTAGAACAAGAACAGGAAAGAGCTGCCCCAGCAGTTAAGAAAAAGCCCCAGTGGCGGCAGTAAGAACATGGACCAGCCCAAGTCGGAAACGAGCAACAACTGTGCAGATCCAGCTTCCGGGTGTCTGCGAGGTGAAGCCCCTGGGAGCCCCGCACAGTGTGATGAGGTGGCCACGAGGCAAAGGAGAAACCTAAGGCCAGCCCTGCAGTGACTGGGATCTGAGAGATGAGGGGATGGGTGAAAGGCAGTGGCACTAAGGGAGACAGTGAAGTGGGCAAAGTCTGGGCAAAAATGGGGGTCACTGAGCCTGAACTGCCCTGTGGCTCCACTCCAGCCCCCTCGCTAAGCCTCTACCAGACCACAGCTGGTTAGAGCCCACAGAGGCAGCAAGCCCCTGAGTGACAACAGGGAGCACACAAGGATGAAATCCTAAGTTGTTCCCACCCCAGTGGTGACTACAGCGCCACCCCTACCATAGGGAGTGATCAAACAACAACCTAAAGCCTGAAATAGGTGCTTAAAAAAACTGTAAAGGACTTCCAGGTAAAGTTGACAGACTGACACACTAATTTACATTCACATCTTCTCAGAATCCCACTAAAATACCAATTTAAAAGTCCTTTCTAAAGGCCTCGCGACCTTAAAGAGAAAGAGAATGAGAGAAGAAATAAGACAATCAAATTTTAGAAGCTAAGAAGCAAGTAGGTAACTGGACGGGAGAAAATGTCACTCTTAGCTGAGTGAGCAACACCAAACACCATCTGATAAAAACGAAACAACTCGCAAAAGGCCGAGCGATCGCTAGCACCAGGCTCCTCGGGAGTGGGAAGGAGCACGGGGCTGAGAGGAATGTAACTGGAGGCTGAGGGTTCCTTCTCCGGAAAAGGTAAAACCATAGGTTTGGACTAAGTTAAAGGCAAAGGTATCTTAAGGAAAACAGGGACATAAATAAAACACACTGATTTCAAGGTTCTACCACCTCCCCCCCACTCCCCAGCCGCCCATTCCCAGAATAGCTGGCAGCCAACCTATACTTATAAGCAAAGGAAGAGAAAGTATTTTCCTGTGAATCTAACTAACTGGAGGGGAAAGATATGAAGAGATCGATTTGGGGGAGGAGGGTCTCTCCAGTGAAACAGCAGAGCCAAATCACCCCCAGGAAATGATGAGAGATTCTAAATCAGTGTTTTAGTCCCCACGCCTGCCTCTGATAGACAGCCAGAATCACCTTCCACTTGAGACGAGCACCTAAGTTGGAAAGACAGGGACCAGAATAACCAGACAGAGAAAAATAACTCATCGGAAAGAGAAACAATTTAGGGAGAAGTACACTTCAAGAGCAAGCTATTAGTAATATTCCCAGAGAGAGAGAGAGGAGATGGTGTAGCTGAGAAACAATAATAGAGCAATATTTATTTTAAGAGAAAAAAATAACACAGAGAGCGAAAAAGCTCTTTTGGAGAGCAAAACTGTGATAGCCAAAGGGAACACTAGATATACCAGTAAAGACCAGGAGGTAAGAAAATGTCCAGAAAATAGAGCCAAAGGGTATGAAACGGAAAACAAGAAATGAAATGAAGTTACCACATGAGAAGAGTTAAAAAAAAAAAGTGGGGTGGGGAGGACATAACACAGAGAGGACAAAAACAAAGATGTAATTCCAGAAATGCCCCGGAACCAGGAGACAGGAGAGCTGAGCTGGGGGAGCCCCAAGGGCGGCCGAAGACACGCCGTGCTCTCACACCTCGCGGTGAGGTCTCAGCATGGGGACAAAGAGAGGGCACAGAGCTCCAGCGGGAAGGCAGAATTCTGCAGCAGAGGGAAATGGGAAACGGCACGGGGTTTCTGAACCGCAGGCTGTGGGCTGGAAAGCAATGAGTGACACCGTCGCCGTCCTCCAGGGAAGGCTCTCCAAGCTAGAATGATGCGCCACGCCAAATCAGGTGAGAAGCAGGTGAAGACACTTGCAGATACACAACCTCTCAATAACTAGAAAAGAAAAGAAATCTAGTTACAGGAAAACAGAGATTCCAAGAAATAGGGGACCCAACACTAACATGAGTGAGAAAGTCATTCATAACCACCAAAAAGTAAAAACAACATATACAGGTGACTGATGGGTAAAGAAAATGGGGTCTAGCCATACAATGGAATAGTATTCAGCCATTAAAAAGAATGGGGTAGTAGTACATGCTACACACAGATGAGCCTTAAAAACATCATGCTAAGTGAAAGAAGCCAGATACAAAAAGCCTTGTATTTCATGATCCCATTTATACAAAATGTTTAAAAGGAGAAAAAAACATTGGCTTCCAGGGATAGGAAGAAGGGATGGGGAATGATTGCAATTGAGTACCATAGGACTTCTTTTGGGGGTGATAAAATGTTTTGAAATTTGAGAGTGATGATGGTTACACAATCTTGTGAATATACCGAAACCCCCTGAATTGAGTACTTGTATAGTATATGAACTGCATCTCAATCCAGGGGAGGAGGAGCAGCAGCGGCCCCTGTGGCAATGGCAGCAGTGAAGTGGGAGAAGCAGAGTCACAGAGCGGCCAGGCTTCCAGCCACAGAGGCCAGAGGACTCCAGGTGTGACAGCTGCCTCAGTGTGAGCATACTGAGGAAATCTACATAACTAAGAGAGCATTTGGAGATGAATTAGTAGTAAGTACATAGGACATCAACCAAGTTAAGATAAAATGATAAGTATTAACTCAAAAGAAATAAAAAAGCTGTGCAAAAATAATGATTATGTACCTCACAGCTCAGCTGGATGGCATTTTCAGAGTCATAATAACGTAATCATGGACCAGAGATCTAACCAAAAAGATTATATGTCTGTGCTGGAGGGTGTGTGTGTGTTTTGTGGGGGCGGAAAGATCAAAGAAAGCTAATCATCATCTTCCACAGAGAGAAATCAATAAATATTACCTACAGTGGAGAAATCAACAAGTGGCAACAGACACGTTATTCAGAGATATCAAGGTAACTACCAAAAGAATTGGTTAAAAGGTTTAAAGCAGTGCCCTGGCCGGCATGACTCAGTGTGATCATACTGAGTTTCAGCCCGCACAATGAAGGGTC